GACAGACGGACAGTAGAGCCGTAGTAAAATGGTCTCGTTTTTCCCTTTTTGTTGTTGCTGTTTTTCACATTTGGGTACGGAGTCTTCAAAAAAATATGATGATTATTAGCGAACAGAAAAAACTTACATTTCTACCCAATTTATCATAGAATAATAATAATATATTTTCTCATGTCACAATCGTAATAGTAAATGAGGCTTACATGAAAGAATGGTAGAATGTAGCAGACTGTGAGGGCTGATACGTGAACTAGGAAGAATCCTGTATCCCAGGTTAGGGGGGAGGAGTCCCCCCATATAACCCCGTCTCTCACCCAGGGGCGGGGTATGAGTCGTCACGCATTTTCCCAAAAAAAAAAGGTTATCAACCTTTCACCCCAAACCATGATCAGAAAACTGTTATGAATAAGTAGGTAGTGAAATATTTTTGGGTGGTGGGTCATGGCCCAATCTCCCTATTTCATCCATAGGGAAGGCCTGTGCCCCAGCAGTGGGTACATTAATAGGCTGATGATGATGATGAAATATTTTTTTCGTCCATAGTTCATAATTACTGTTTCGAGGAAAATAACTATTCGCTTCCAAAGTACACGTCATGTCTTATAATAAGGCAAAAAGTAGATAGATGTTGTAGTATTTCAGCATTTTCCCGTGCACCGGGTGGAAAATTAAAAACTGACATGGAAATACACCGTCCTAAATACGATTACGGGGATCCATTTTCAGGCTGGTTTCACCAATTCCCCTTTCCGAATCTTACGGATAAAGTTCTCATCCATCTTACTTTTAGCGAAACACAAAGAGTTTAGTCGAGAGCAAACCAAATTTCCCATTGTATGTTGATTAAATCGCCGTTCGTTTCGAATATGGAAATCGAGTTAATGAAAATACGAATGTTAAAAATGGATATACCATAAATACCAGCTTTTTTAAATGCATCTTGAAAACTTTTCCATCACTTTGATGACGAGTGTTATATAATATGTTTGCAATCAACGAAAAATACGTTTTTATACGCTAAATTGCTATTCCGTAAACATATTTCGAGCTTGAAAGACAGAATTGATGATGAGTTACTAATTTTCAAAATTAGTTTACATTATTTAAAAAGAAAATATTCTGGAGGAACCCCATTATTTATTTTACATGGTGCCGTCCTCAAAATAAAGTGCGGCTAAGTGAAACGTGGTCTATTTTTCAGTCTCAAATTGCATCTTATACAGCTTTTAATTCTTTATCGATCTGTCTTTAATAAATATTCGTATCTTTTAAAGTTTAACTCTAAAAATCCGGCATGTGATGAAAGGTTACAAAATAGCAATAATTTAAAGTTTCTGTGCCGTTTTTCTGCCATAACTCAAAAGATAGTTTTGCCATTTAGCCGCGTTCATTACAAGCCAAAAACCATATTAATTAGAAAGAAAGAAGAAAGAAAGAAAAATAAATTTATTTGAGACAACACACACACAACAAACGGAACAAAACACACATATTTTTTTTTGTCTCAAATCGGTCCCAACTCAGCATGTGCTGATATGTTGCCATCAGCGCTGGTCTTCCTTAATTAATGATAATCATTTATCTCTAAGCTAAGCAGGCCTTCAACTATGGAAAATATATACAAATCAAGACACCTACTACATTCGTATGCAATGTTAAAACCGTATCACGGCACTAAGACAATTGCTTATACTTATGCAACGGCCACACTCTCGCGCTGTCGCAAAAAAATCCATTTTCACGAAAATTCTAGTCAAGTAATATTTACATTTCAAAACACGGTCTATTGCTTGGCGCGTCGTGAAAACGGCAAATGTTCGCGATAATGCAACAGTGTAGCCGTAGTATTATACCTATTTTTATATTAAGACATTATTGCCTTTTTTGACTCATCCACCATTCAGTAGAGCCTTGGAACCGTAATCACCAACAGTAACACAAAAAACGTTGCATTATTAAGGAAATCCTGTAACGTGGAGGTAAGCTCCTCAAACACGCGCTCCAATTCGAGCGGGACCCGCTTTACTTCTCTTTATAAGTATTTTGAAAGTAAGTTGTAAATAGTGACTTGTAGTATTTTAATCATACTTATCATTTTGTATTTAAATATTACGTATAAAGCTCTCTGAACATTTTAATTTTATCCGAAGAAATATCAAAGGTAACAGATTTGTTTGACGTGACTGCATGTAATTAATCTCTAAATTACGTCCAATATATAATAACGCTAATTGAACTCTACAAAGAGAGCGCCAAGAGCGATCACGGGACAAAAGGTTTGGGAAGGCGAGTCTGCACCAGACTAGATATCTTTGTATTTTAACCCTTGTAACTCCACACACGAACGCACAGAATGACTATAATCATAGAAAAATAATAATTTTAAAAATACAGTAATGTCACTTTGAATTTCCATTTTACTTTATATTGCCGAGAATAGGGTTGATGACGGGTAAATGAAACGAAAGTTTATTTAGTCCGCCAATGAGATTACCAAAAAATAATCCACACTTTTTTCTTTCGTCAATCAACCAAAAAACATATAAAGTAAAAGCGACACAACAAAAGAGCAAACATAAAACTTTTTGTTTGATTTTAAATACATTTATATTACACTAGTTGTGCCCCGCGGTGTTACCCGCGGTTTATTGGGGATATTTTACCACAGTAAAATGTAACCTATGTGTTAATCCAGGGTGTCAGCTAACTCCATACCAAATTTTATTAAAACTGCTCCAGACGTTTAGCCGTGAAGAAGTAACAAACATACACACTCACACACAAACTTTCGCCTTTATTATACTAGTGGCCCGCCCTCGCTTCGCTTCGGTGTAGGGCTGTAGTGAAGACTATAGTTATTGTTCTCAGGCTTGTATTATACACATTGACATTCTACTAATACCTAATTACAACAGGCACGCGCCGCTAAGCCCGACCCGGAAGCGTCGGAACCGCTGTGCCCCTGCATTTTAAATCTGTAATATCTTCAAAAATATTCATTTAAATTGCATGCGTTAAAGGGCCAAATTGGTCTGTATTAAATGCACAATGTATTTAAGGTACTTAATTGGATAAGGATGAATGTTATATTGCTGAAAATCGCTTCGTAAATAATCTATTATTTCTCGCAAAAAATAAAAGATTAAAAATGGTTATTGTGGGTTATCCCTAAGAGATAGACATATACCATCGTGGGCTTTTAAGGTGTACAATACTGTAGTGCATTATTTTGATCTATCTCGTAGGGTTCAACAGGCGCTTGCAATGTAAATGCAAAAAAATGTGTTTATTTACGACCTTACATTAAAAACCTCTAAAATTATTATCAGTGTTTGTCAACTATATTATGCATGTTTTATCCATATGAATCACTCTATCTATTAAAAAAACCGCATCAAAAACCGTTGCGTAGTTTTAAAGATCTAAGCATACATCGGGACATAGCGACTGACAGCGGGATGCGACTTTGCTTTATTCTATGTAGTGAAGTGTGATTTATAAAGTCACAGTTGCTTCCCAGTAGGATAGGAAAAGTCAATTTGACCTCCACTCAGTATGGTCTTCACTGACCATCTCTTTCTTTTTATCCACTTTCATCAACCACTACACAATGTATGCAACATGAGTGAGAGACTTGGTGTTTGTTACGAGACCTTTATTCGAAAGATTATCGATTAGGTCTTTGTAGGTGCTACGTGGGCGACGTAACAAGCAATATTGTATAGCGACAAACAAAATTTACCTACAGAAGTTTGTTGAATAATTTCCTTATAGCGTAGTAATTAGTCACTAATCTGTGGGCATTCGGCTTTGAGCTTCCCAGTAGGTACTAATTATATGTGGCTAACTTTCCCCTTTCCGCCCCCTGATCAAAGTTTCCAACCACGAGTTCCAAACAATCAAGACGTTCAATGGATGAGAATTGGATTAGTAGTGACTTTAGTTTAAGAACACAGATTGTTCGGTTTTTAGGGGTGTGCACTGACAATAACAAAACAATAAAAAAACGACGAGTTGTTATAGAAAACATGACGACTTTTTGTTGTAAATTTAAGCTTATAATTATTTATTTTTCTCAGACTGTTTTTTTTAATGAAGCGGAATATTTAGAATAAGCTCGACTTGATTTTGAATTAGGTAAATAGAGAGAGTATATTCAGAAGTTCAAGATACTCATGACAACAGAATAAAGTTGCTTTCTGAAAGAAAAGTCAACTATTAAGTGACAAAGAGAATAATTAACTCATAGGCTAGTTAAGTCTCCTCGGCAAATTCTAAAACGTTGAAGTTAATGGCCAACATGACTTTCATTTGTTACCCCCTCTATAAATATGTATGAAACTTGTTCTTTCCTTTCGGCATTTGCCGTAGCAGTGCTTATTTGCGATTCAGCTATCAGTCTCTATACAGACGAAGAAAGTTTCAGGCAGTCACTCGCCAGTTCGCTACTGAACGCTGATAAGGGCCGCTTGTGTGCATCGCGGAGATTCATAAGAAACATAACGAGCGAACTTTCGAAGATAATTGCTGAAGGGAACAAGTTTTATATCGAATGTGTAAGAGTATATATATTTTCAGCATTTGGGAGCAAGCTTATATAATGTAATCATTAGTGTTGTCGTATTAGCGTAAACATGATTATTTTCTTCTTAGCTATACTTAAATTTGTGCCTTAAATACATAAACAGGTTTCGGTATTAACAACAAAACATTTTTATTATTATCGGTTTGGTTAAATTTAGTAGGTGCACCATAAAGTTAAGCTAAACTTTTGTCTCGTATATATAACTTACGGCAAAAATGCCACATTCTTTTCTTATCAGTTTCGTATTGTGACTATAACGCAATAAATCATGTTCGACCCCACTCTCAAAGTTGAACGTTAAACCTTTCAATATCGAAAACTCCCTTAACTTTATGATGCTTGACTTTATACATAGTAAAAAAACTAGACCCTTCCCGAAAAGCCAACTAGTGGATTACAAAAAAGTTTATCTTACCTTGGAATAAGATTCCTCTTGGCGCGTACCCTTGATAAAGTCGTAGAATATGCAAAGAGGCAGAACCATTATCGCGGGCTCTTTGCATAGAGTGCCTGCGGCTGCAAATAGCAGAGTGCCAGATAACGTGAGCCACTGTAAGAGTTCACTGGCTTCTTCACTTACACTATCACTTTGACATTTGAGTTTCACTGCTTCAGTTTTTAATTCACACGGATCGAATACCTTCATGGGGCCCGCTTTGCTCGCCTTCAACAGTCTACGAAAGTTCATCATAATATGTTGTACCAATCCATGGCAGCTCAGTCTAAATGGATGTTCACTCGATTCTATTTTACGGCGCAGCACGATGTTCTTATTAACATTCCGACACTGGCGTCTCTGATGCCTTTCTCGGAGTCGTATGTGTTCATTGTAGAGTAAAAAACTGAGCAGGAATAAATTGCAAGCCGCTAAATCGGCTCTGCCTACAATTCCAGCTACGGCTTCTGTGTGTATAGGGTGGGCTGCGAAAGTCAAGCCGGCAACGGCAGTGCCCACTCTCATGCAATAATGGGGCAGGAGCCGTCTGGCAACTGTGACCACTAGCGCTGTTGCCGTACAATGAAATATGATGTTGAGTAAATGGTAACTCCACGGCTTGAATCCACTGAAGGCATAGTTGAGCCGGTAGGTGGCGGTACATAATGGTCTATACGAGCCGTGAGAGCCTGGGTCTGAGAGCGGCGTCCCCCAGAAATCGTTTTCGAATAAAGCCTCTATCGGTGTATGCGCGATGACATCCGGATTGGAGAGGATCGCCCGTCTGTGGAATAAAATGCAATTTATAAAATCCACACTTTTTGGTTAGGAATTTCATAGAATCAGCGATGTCTTGCAGTTTGTTATGACCATTCAGTGTAAGTATTGCTTTTATTTATGTTTTCTGTTTGAAACATTGCCTTCAATTCGCAATAAAAAAAATAAGCACACCAATTAGCCTAGCCCCAATGTAATCACTGTAAAGCTTGTGTTAGGAGGTTATAGGATAGAATACATATACTCATACATATATAAGTATATTTTAATTTAGAAATACATATAAATATCCATGACTTAGGTAAAAATGCTCGTATCCATCGCACACAGATTTACCCCGCCGGGATTCGAACTTGGGACCTCTGGAGTAGGAGACACCTTGAGAACCGTCGTGAAATACAACTCACTCGAGTCACGGAGGTCGTCGTTGGTGCTCTACAAAGCCAACTTTTATGGAATAAGTATCTAATACGTAAAACTAAATCTATTTTATATGAGTGGATTTTATCATTACTAGTTAAAGTAACCTAAATTCTATTCTAACTGTGTTAAAAATTCATATTGCAGAATCAAGTTTCGGAACAGAAAAATATGCTATTCTAGTAAGTTATCATCTGCAATGGAGAAAGTTGGGGAGAAGCAGATTTTATTTTTGCGATTTTCGTGGCGATGTTTAAAAGTTGTTTGTGCAAATTGAATCTGGATTTGCCTTTTCCGTACCTATTAATTTATTTGATCATGATAACAAAGTTAGTTTAAATATAAGTTAATTTTGTTATTTTTGTCTTTTTCTACTCAACCATATCATCAATTACTGTATTTCAAGTATCAAATCTAAAAATAGGTAGTGCGAAGCACTTCGCCTGCAAGTCTAGTTTCTAGCTAGTTTTTTGAGCTTCGACAATGATTTATGTACCTTTTCTGTGGATTTTTTTTATCTTAAAAGGGTGGTAAACAAGCATGGCCCACCTGATGGTAAGCGGTGGTCGCTTATCCTATATAGACGCTAGTGATATAAAAAATAGCACTCGCGCCGTTGCCTATTCTGACTCAATCCCCTACCCAGGGGAGCCCTGGAATCTTACTCACCGACAGAAACGCAACACCACCATAAGGTAGTGATATTTTTAGTGTGACTCAATGACATCCAATGATATGAAGTCAAGCTTAATGTAAGACAACACAAGTTGATTATACAATATCAGTTTGGTCAATGTGCACAATGCCCTCACTCCGACAGTGTTTCGCTGGAATCATAAAGTCCATCAATCAATTTACAATTCATCCATTAATTACGAATTGATCAATCGACTGTCACGCGGGAAATGAATGACTAAGTAGAAACTGTGAGAAAAATATAATTAATAAATTTTAGAGCTTTTTTATTTTTTATCCAAGTGTAATGTAATTCAAATCGTATTTATTACTCTTTGTAAATTCCACAAGTGTTCATATTTATCATGCTTTTGGATTTTGGAATTGAAAATGAGCTATTCATATTAAAATTAAAAGGAGAGTCAACTTTGTCTCTTTGCCAAGCGCAGTGGCAGTATAATTATAGAACACTCATATCACAAATATAAGACGTTATCATGTAGTAAAATTGGTATAAAATGTTAATGGTCATGTTAATAAATCAAATAAAGTAAATCAATCCAAAATTGCGAATATGTCTTTTCTATTTTTTTTGTATTATACAGAGCCTATTATGATCATTGTTTCTTTAAACTTTACATTGTTAATGCAATAAAGTATTGAAATTTTAAACAAGGGAAATGGGCTGAAACAGATATTTAGTTGTGATTTGTGTACCGGAAGTAAAAAGATCCAATCAACACTCAAAAAACAACAGCAGAGCAGAAAACGCAAAAACGAAAGTTAACATATTTTAATTTCTCGTTCAAATTTTAAATTGTCGCTCCATTACCGACGACAGAACATGACTTTTGAAAATCGATTTAATTATAAATGTGACAGTGTGTCTTTCTGTATGCTTATGCTTAAACCGCTGCAACTATGAAAATTCAATTCGATATAGAGATAGTTTGAGTACTGGGAAAGGACATAGGATAGTTTTTATCCTAGAATTGACCCTTTATGGGGGTGAAAAGGGGGACTTAAGTTTGTATGGGAAACCAATCTTTCCACACAGAAAAGTCGCGGGCACAGTTAGTCTATATTTCTTCGGTTAATTTATATTTTTTTAATGATAGGTCCTACCTATACTATTCATACAATTTAAACTCTTTAAAATATAACATGTCTAGATTATACTTAATTGAATTTGACTGTACAAGGGCCACTTGCGCAAAATAGTAAACTCTGACAAAATTTGTAGGTAAATTTAAATTCATAAACTTGGGCACAGTACTGATATCTGTAGTAGTCCGACTTCATACAAACGGTCGAAAAGAGAATTCTACGCGCTAATAGGTACCTACTCGCCTCACTTCAGGTATACAACTTGGTACATAGCAGTCAGCAGGGTGTGCGCGGTGTGCGCTGCAGAGATGTGATGGCCGAATGTTGCGATAGCTTTTTACAAAAACTTTTTATGGCAACATATAGATTTTATTGTGCTGTTTTTGGTTCTTTTAAATTACCTACAAACTCCGAAAGGTAATTATATAAATTAGTTTTAATATTCCTCCTACTACGTAATCCAACTCAAGTAGGTAAATAAAATAAAATACTTACTGTAGGCAGGTAGCCCTATCACGCGTGTGGTTGTAGGAACTAATTTCAAAAATAGGGCCGAGTCAAAGTACTTTTAAATATTATTGTACTGTGCCTTAGGTGTGTCATGGGTATGTCACAGATTAGTGAGATTATATTTATGGCTTGTGCTCTCTTTGTGCTTAGTATTTTCTGGGCTCTATGGGTTTTATGTCATATATTATAGTAAAATTCTTCGTTCATTGCTCTATGTATTTAGAAATTATATTTTTGAAGGAAAACATCTTTACGCACGCTTCACTTGGGGGGTCAGAAAAGTGTGTTCGGTGAGGGGAACGGGAGTTAAGTAGGGGATATAAGCAAGAGAAAGCAGTGCTAAAGAAGTTTCACTTCAGTCGTGTGGTCATAAGCACACTCGTTTTTTTTTCTTTTAAAATCTATGTTCTTACGTCAAAGAGATGTGTGTCTAATCTAACTGTGATAAATCTGAGGTTATGTTAATTATAATATAGTTAGTATTTCAACAGACAGAATTTTCTCTTAACGCTGGGCACTGCAAGACGATTATTATATATTTATACACGAGTTAGAATTAAACAGGGATATTTATGTCCCCGAGTTAACCCACAAATTTTGACGGGAATAGTATTTACGAGTAACACATAATTTACTTATAACTCTGGACTGCGCAAGTGGCCGTAAAAGGGGTAATTTAAAAACATTAAATTGACTTTTCAACAGCATCAGTCAGCAGTGTATTGAGTCACTGCTGGGACACAGGCCTTTTCTACGGATGGGATAAAGAGTGGCCATGATTTTTTGCTAACGACTGCTGATACAACCGGAACCAATGACCTAACGAGCCTTCGTGTAATAAGTCACTGCTGGGGCACAGACCTTTCCTACGGATGGGATAAGGAGTGGCCATGGTTTTTTGCTCACGACTGCTGAAACAATCGGAGCCAATGACCTAACGAGCCTTCCAAAGCACGAAGGAGGTCAAGAAAATCAATTTTCGGTCACCCATCCTAAGACTGGCCATTGTGAAAGTTCCTTAACCTTCACGATCATGGACCAAACGTTAACAGCTACATCGATCACCACATTGTATTTTTTTATACATGTTCACAAAGTCATAATTGTTACTCGACATTTATAAGTAATAATAACATACTAATTGAAAAACTTTGCCAGTCACCAAGTTTTTGATTTGAACCTTTATTTAATTACAAGTTCATAACATTCTCTCGCAAAGTTAGTTATTTTAATTAAATTTGTCGCCTGATATTTTGATATAGAGTAATGACAAATAAAGCAACACTTTTTGATTATTTATTCTCCGAATAATATTATCAAGTTATTTAGATGCTTCATTTTTTGTAACTATATTTGAAGTATTTTATTGATTTATAGAAGTAGAAGTGAAACATAAATATATGAAAAACTTCTAACTCCTGAATATAGATAAGACTTCGCATATAGCGCTTCCGAATGGGTTGAACCTTCTAAAAGTCATAATTTTTAGGGGGGCCTACCTGATTACTTTATACCTTGAGTATAGTTCTTTGTGCTCTTTCAAGTTTTATCATAACACTCTTGAAAGGTGCGCCCCAAGCTATAATAGAATACATTATTATCGATCGGGTGAGATCATAACAAACATGCTTTACTAGTGCAGTGAAATCACTGATGAACTTTAGTTTTTAAAAACGTGGAGGAGTATGTGGTTACTGTAGTTTCGTATATTTGACACAATATTTGACTGACCAGATAAACGAAAAGATATTTAATATTGAGAGCTAAGAAACAAATGGACATCTTCAAAATCTAGGCTGAGAAATACGACAACTATGTGCCTTGAGAAAAGATGGGTTAAGCACAGGGGAATTTAATATCCGCGCCAACATAATCAACTTAATCTGCTTAATGTTATATGGTAGCCAAGAATTTACAACAACTTTAATCGATAAAGCATCCAGTGCATTTACGACAGATTTTATCAATTTATCAAACAAAACAATTTTAATTTTTAAAATCGATGACGATCTATCGAGTTTAGTTTGAAAGTTCACAGCCTTACTACAAGAAAGTTGAGGAAAAATTCAACTCGAGTATAAAGCTGCGTATTCATTAGGCAACATTTGTGTATAAACACTGTTATGAACAGTATTTGCCAATGTTGCATCACCTCCGTATACAATCTAGAAATTGTTAAATAAAAGTGATGAAACATTGTTTTTAATAAATAACACCTTTATTTTTATGACACATTGTTTCGGATATATGTTGCCGTGTTCCCCACTCAGACTGGCGAGCAAGACGAAACATTTA